TTTTCATATATACATACATATATATATATATATATATATATATATATATATATATATATATATATATATATATATATATACTATATATATATATATATATATATATATATATATATATATATATATATATATATATATATATATATATATATATATATATATATATATATATATATATATATAGTAGTAAGAAATTGCCGATTCAGAGGGATTTTTTATTTTCAACCAAATTTTCAACCATAAATTAATATTAATATAGGGTTAAATGTTAACCATATTGTGTATAAATTATTTCAACAAGAAATAATTTTTTATTTTAAAAAATTGATTTTTTAAAATAAGTGTTAATTTTTATTTCTTGTTATGAAATGTTACGAAAAATTCTTGCATGACGTCACAGGTCACGTGATTTTCTTGCTGTTTCTAAAGCGTTATAAAATGAATCCATACTTTAATTCAATTAAATATTTTGCTACTTCAAGGTGACCATTCATTACAGCATAATCAATTGCAACATGAAAGTATTCATACCCTTTTTCAATTAAATATTTTAATATTTCAAGGTGACCATTTTCTGCAGCATAAATAATCGCAAATTCATCACCTTTATACCCTAATTCATGTAAATATTTTACTACTTCAAGATGACCATTCATTGCAGCACAATTAAATGCACATTTATCACATTTATACCCTAATTCATGTAAATATTTTGCTACTTCAAGGTGACCATTCATTACAGCATAATCAATTGCAACATGAAAGTATTCATACCCTTTTTCAATTAAATATTTTAATATTTCAAGGTGACCATTTTCTGCAGCATAAATAATCGCAAATTCATCACCTTTATACCCTAATTCATGTAAATATTTTACTACTTCAAGATGACCATTCATTGCAGCACAATTAAATGCACATTTATCACATTTATACCCTAATTCATGTAAATATTTAATTACTTCAAGGTAACCCCTAATTGCAGCATTAATAATTGCTTGATCTGTTCCTTTATACCCTAATTCATGTAAATATTTAATAATTTCAAGGTCATCATTTATTGCAGCACCATCAATTGCTATTTCTGTTCCTCTATACCCTAATTCATGTAAATATTTTAATATTTCAAGGTGACCATTTCCTGCAGCATAATTAATTGCCCATTCTGTTCCTTTATATCCTTTAGAATGTAAATATTTTATTACTTCAAGGCGACCATTTTGAGCAGCATAATCAAGTTTTGTACGTTTATTTTCTTGTATCATTCTTTTTTATATACACAAGAAAATTATTTAAATCATTTTCAAAATTTTTTTATTTTTTTTAATGCGCATGCGCTAAGATTTACTTAAGCATAGTAGTAGCATTGTCCTAACAATAAAGTATAAGTTCCAGATTGACCAACTTGTGCATCACCACAGTTGAGTGTCACTACCATTCTTCTACCACTACCAACACTAGGCATTCCTTCAGATTGATCAAAATTTCTATAGAATGAAATTGTAGTTCCTGAAACAATTTCACTAGTAGATTGATACAATAATCCTGATGATGTATTATTAAAAGAGGTTAAATTTGCACCACTCCATGAAGATAAGTAAAAATCTTCTAAACCAGATGAAATGAAAATGCATCTACTGTTAACATCATATCCAGAAAATGTTTTATAATTATTATCGCTATAGGGTGTCCAAGGAGTAATAACTGAGTTACTATTTATAGGAGAACTATATCCATCGTATATGCGTACTCTTGATTCTCCCCAGTTACTAACTCCTCCAACAACATGCATTCTAATGTATTTCAAATCCACTCCGTTTCCTTTATCCATAGCATCCATTAGCATATATTCATTTCCATAAGTTGCATTAGTAAATCTAAATACTGAGGAGTAAAGTTTAAGTGATGAAATGGATCGAGGTATTAGCGGATTAAAACTAGTTAATGTTTGTTGTATCGACGAATTTCTTGTGATAAAAGGCTGTAACCAAAATGTCACTGAATTGCCTGTTGTGTTGTATAATTGTATGTAAAAACTTGATGTAAAAGGAAGATCTAGTGTAAAATATCCTCCTAATCCAGTACTACTGTATACATTACATCCTTGTAAAGAGTTAGCATAAAAGGGTCCTCCAAGTGGTGAAAACAACATATCACAAGCTAAAGCTGTATTATTTATTCCAGTACCTCCTGCAGAAGTAGCATCATTACCTATGCATAGTTCATTATCCGCGTATATTTTTAAAAATAATGAACCAGGTACAGTTTTTCCACTGCTAGCTGTTCCCATAAATGCAATCCATAGTTTTCTAAGAATTCCTGAACTACCACTATAACTATAAATAGTGTATGATCCTGGAGTGCCATATATGGTTTGAAATTTTAATCCAAAACATGTTAAACTTGTATTGGGAATGATATCTAAACTTTGATTTTGTATATCATCAACATAATGCTTTGTAGCAGCATCTTGTGCATTAGTAGGATCAACTACATTGAT